ATCTGGTCAATATCTAGTTGGATACATCATGTAACATTTTTCTATGAGATGTATTCACCCTATTTTTAGTCTAAGGTGATGAAGGACTGCTAGAAGAAGAATTTTCCCACAATGATATGAGTTGAGCTGACGTTTTCATTCTATTTCACATAGCCTTGCTTTTCCAAAAGTGTGTGTTATGTGAAATTTAATGGAATCGTCAGCTCAACTCATATCGTTGTGGGAAAATTCTACTACCAGTCCTACATCACCTTATACGAAATAGGGTGAATACATCTCATATTACTGATTTACTGGTAGTCTCGAACCTCTACTCTGATACGAAAATAACATTTTTATGTCCAGCTCATGTTATGCATCGACGTTTAGTGCCCGCAACACGATTCTGAACAGTGACTTGAGAAATTGCTGAATCCGAACTCCTCACAGAAAGAGAGAGAGGCAGAAGCCTGACTGAAGTAGAGGTCCAATTAATGCCGCAAGAGAGAGTGTCTCTCTCTCTCTCTCTTCGTTTCTCTTTGTCGGACAGGCCTCAGAGAGTCCACGAAAATGGGTCCAGATAATGCCATTTCTGTGCACTCCACGAGGTCCATAGGGCCGACCAAACAAGTGCTGTGACGCCCGAATGGTGTCGCGACCGAACACACTCAGCCGTCCTTCGGTTGGACTAACGTCACTTGAGACCGGCCGCTTCCTGACCGGGCGTTGTCGACTTTTGACAGACAATTCGGTACAGAGAAGCGGCTGCCTGCAAATCACAACCGCCAGAGCGGATGTTTATGACCGGCAGAGTCGTCCTATCGCGTGTGGTATCGAATCGAATTAGTCCCATTCCCATCCATTAATTATTGTACAACCGTTTTGCCACTCGACTATGCCTTAAACGCCATTGTTCCGACGACGTCCTGGTTGCCTATCCTTTCATGGACGGGATTTTCCACCTGTTCTGACATTTGTATGCATAATTTAATGCATAATTAATTAAACGTGGACGCCCATCTCATAGGAAGACTGATTCGGTTGAAGGAGGCATCAACGAGCGAAAAGTTACAAATAAATAGAATACAAACAGCTTGTATGGTTCAGAGCAAAAGACGAAATGTATACAAGCCGGACAAAACATGCAATAGGCAACCGGATGCTTGTGCGTTCCGAAGAACACATGAGACCAATTCTTCATCTGGCCTGTGGAAGGTAAGAAGGCCTACACGAAATATACAAGTGTAGACAAACAAACACACCCACACACACACCGACAACCGTGTGTACAGCCTACCCCCTTTTCGTTTACCGAGTGGGAGTATATTTGTTTTAGCCGCAGTGACAACCATAACGATTCCGAGGGTGAAGGTGGTCGAAGGACAGGTATTAGTGGGACATGTGTCCTTCTGGATCGTCTTCTTCACTTCGGCCAATCGTCTCCTTGTCGTTCCAGTCGTCGTTTAGGGCGGATCTGCCGCCTCTAACATGCTCTCTCCTCGGCGCTGGCCGTCAGACCTACGAGTCTTTCTGGCCGAGTTCGAACACAACGTTCGGACGCCCCGGACGTATGTCTCGAGTCCGGTAGCAAAGTCACACCTTTTCACATTGAGGTCACTAAAACTTGGCAAGAAAAGTTCGGTTTCATAATTGTTGAGGCTACTTCCATTTCGAATGAAAGTGTTGCGTGAAGAGATTCGAAGGTCGAGTCCACCAGAAGACGACGGCGAATTCCTCTTGACCAGCTGTCGATTGACTTTACTGGAACATTCATGCTGACGCTGTTTCCGAGACAATCTCATTCGATTTCGGTGAAAAGGTCACATGACGGACAACCAAATTCATTTTCTTGCCTCGTT